TGCCTCTTGCTTGTTTGAGCTTGAAAGCAATTGTGTTGTGTAAATTAACAGAACTCGGCTACGAACCCTTCTGCTCATTAAACACTTGCAGATCTTGAAAGCATTTTTAAGGGTAACCTGGAAATGGTTTTCCAACTCCAGAAGCCCTTTGGGGGTTTACTGGGCTCTGGTCCCACATCTGCCACTGACCTGCTATTTGACCTTGGATCCTTGAGGGCACCTCCCTGGAGTTCAGGAAGGGACTGGAGTAAGACTATCAAAAAGAGCTTGTAGGAAAGCTACAGGACACATATAAAGCAATAATGAAAAGGTACATTACCTGAGAGAAATTGTGAATATCAGTGGAACAGAGAAAAAGCTGAAATACACCCAACCACCTAAAGAAATTTTCCAAATGATAACATTTCTCAAACAATGTATAAAGGAGGTGTTTCTTCTTTTCTTTTGTTTTTTTTTTTAAAATTCTAACCCGAGGATACATTTTCCATTGATTTTTAGAGAGTGGAAGGGAGGGAGGTAAGGAAAGGAGAGGGAGAGGGAGAGGGAGGGGGAGAAGGAGAGGGAGAGAGAGAGGAAGAAGGAGAGAGAGACATCAGTGTGAAAGAGACACATCGACTGGTTCCCTCCTAAACTGAGCTTGAACCTGCAGCCCAGGTACGTGCCCTTGACCAGGAATTGAACCCGAAACCCTTTGGTGCATGGGCTGACACTCACACCACTTAGCAACACTGGTCAGGGCAGGAGTGTTTCTTTTTTTAAAAAAAAATATTTTTATTGATTTCAGAGAGGAAGGGATAAGGAAGAGAGAGAGACACACATCAATGATGAGAGAGAATCATTGATCGGCTGCCTCCTGCACACCCCACACTGGGGATTAAACCCACTATCTGGGCATGTGACCTGACCGAGAACCAAACCGTGACCTCCTGGTTCATAGGTTGACACTCAACCACTGAGTTACGCCGGCCGGGCCAGGAAGTGCTTCTTAATAGGTGATGTTGGTGTAACTGGACAGGAATAAGATCTGGATAGAGTAGAGGGTTAAATAATATTTTTTCGAAATCATAGAAGTAGTAGGAAATAGCAGCATATATTTATGAAATCTGAAAAGGGATGAAAACTGTCTCAGGCCTGAAGCAATAGAAGGAATTGTGAAGCAAAAGTCCAACAGATTCAACTATAGAAAAATGAGACATTTTTTATCATCTTATATAATAAAACCCTAATATCCTATATAATAAAACCCTAATATGCAAATTGACTGAACGGCAGAACGACCAGCCGCTATGACGCTCACTGACCACCAGGGGGCAGACGCTCAACACAGGAGCTGCCCCCTGGTGGTCAGTGTGCTCCCACAGGGGGAGCACCACTTGGCCAGAGGCTGGGCTCAAGGCTGGCAAGCGCAGCAATGGTGGCAGGAGCTTCTCCTGCCTCCAAGGCAGCGCTAAGGGGCAGCGAGCCCAGTTTCTGGCTGAGCAGGCTCGCAGCTGGTGAGCTCTGCAGGCAGGTGGTAAGGAGCGAGGGGTCCTGGACTGCAAGAGGGCGCAGGCTAAGCTGAGGGACAACCCCCCTCCCCCCCCCATGCACTGGGCCTCTAGTGATACTGTAACAACAGATTAATATTTATGGTAACTTTAAAATCTAGTATTTAGGAGAACCATTAAGATCCCAAGGATATGAGAAGACAATTCCTTCAAGCAGAAGTTAAAATAGGAAACAAAAACATGGGACATGTGGGAGGTAGTGGGGAGGGGGTGATGATCTTCAGGCATCCTGATGGCTGTAACTTCTGGGATCGATGGGAAAAACTGAGGAAGGGGTGAGGATGGATATCATGCAACAAGCCAGCTTGAGCAGGCCAGACAAATGCCCAGAATGTCGGGGGTAGGGGGCAATTGGATAAACTTCCAAGGGTCTGGGTTCACCTGTTTCCTTCACCTCCAGCTCCCACAAAAGGCATTTTGGCTATTTACTTGAGGGGTAACCACGTAAGACCAAAAGGCCAAGGTCATGGTTTCCAGCCTTTGAGGTCCAATTAGTTTCATGCTGAGTCAAAGCTACTCTATGTGCTGAAGAACTAGACAGCATAGAAGAACTGGTCCAATTCCATTCCTAACACCTGGAAAAAGGTCCCAGCAGGTCCCAGTTTGAAACCAGCTGACCAATGGTATCTCCTTGATCCAGCTGACTGGCCAGGCTTCCATCCCATTGACCTCTGAGAAATGAACTCTAGGGCCACATCAGCTTGCAGGAACTCTGACAGGTGTGGTGTGAGTTCCCCCCACCCCATTCACCAGAGGTTGACCCGTTGGGGCTAAGAGATGGCAGGGATGGTGGCTGCAACCCCCAGCCAATGTTCTTTCCTAAGGGCACCAAGTGCACCCTCACCAAATCCTGCCTTTAAGCAGGTCCAGAGGAAGAGGCAGGAAGGATAAAACACTTCAGCGTTCTGAATAACCTGGCGTCCTTCTGAAGCTGGTGTCGTTTGTGGAGTTGCAGACCTACTATTCATTTAGCCCTATCAGGGGAATGGTCCAGGGTTGTCCTTGCAAAGCAAAGGAACGAACGCAGAGGGTCTGGGTATGTGCCAGAGGTCAAACCCTGTCCCTCAACACAAAGCACCGACAGGCCTGGCCGGTGTGGCTCAGTGGTTGAGCATTAACCTATGAACCAGGAGGTCACAGTGGATTCCCGGTCAGGGCACATGCCTGGGTTGTGGGCTCGTTCCCCAGTGTGGGGCGTGCGGGAGGCAGTCAATAAATGATTCTCTCTCATCACTGATGTTTCTATCTCCCTCCCTCTCCCTTCCTCTTTGAAATCAATAAAAATATCTTTTTAAAAAATTTTAAAAAGCACCGTTAGGAAGGATGACAAAAATTGGCCTCCAATGCCATGTGAGGGATGGGAGTAAATAGGCAGAACTTGTGAGAAAAAAATTATTTGCCCAGAGTATGTGTTGGGAGTTTCTCTCCTAGGATAATTTTGCCTGTCCAGAATGAACTCTGGGTGGGCCTTCCGCGAAGCAGGGGGATGGTCTTTGTGACACTCGGGACCTCCCTCCAGCGGCAGAAACTGAATTGCATAGACCACCCACTAATATCAGGTCCTACACATTCTCCCTGCTCCCTCCAGTTCCAAATTCCTCCTACTAAAAGTTTTCCTCCATTCACCCAAATAGTTTGTTTTAAAGTGTAAACACACACCCAGGGACCAGCAAAGGAAATTAATCAAATGAGAAAGACACAGAGCCAAATAGAATGATACACCGTGTTCTAGGTTCTGATTCTAAATCTGACAAGAAGTGTGAAGGGCTGGCAGCTTGCTGGTTGGGTACTAGTGGCAGCAAGCAGCTCCCTCCTGCCTCAGGGCATCAGGCCAGCAGCTGCTGTACTCTTAGGAGCTGGAGGGAGAGTGGGTGGCACTTAGGAGCAGAGGGAGAGCTGTGCTACCCCACGGAGACAGGACCTACTAGACCAGGGGTGGGCAAACTTTTTGACTCGAGGGCCACAATGGGTTCTTAAACTGGACCGGAGGGCCGGAACAAAAGCATGGATGGAGTGTTTGTGTGAACTAATATAAATTCAAAGTAAACATCATTACATAAAAGGGTATGGTCTTTTTTTTTTTTTTTTTTTTTAGTTTTATTCATTTCAAACGGGCTGGATCCGGCCCGCGGGCCGTAGTTTGCCCACGGCTGTACTAGACGCTCCTCAAACCACAGCCAGGCCTCGTGTTAACGTGGATGACACCCCATGTCCCCACCCCAAGCCCGCCATGTCTTTTAAGCTGCAATTCCATGTCTTTGCTCCTGCCTGGGCATCTGCATTTAGCTGGCTCTTCAAATTGAATTTGTCCGAAACCAAAATTGTCCTTTGTGCCAACCCCACTCCCCCCAATCCCAATCCTGACTTTCCCTTTTTCCCCCTCAATTCAGAATGTCAGTTATATATGTGGTTCACCTCATCTATTCAGTGTAGTGAGGTCGGCCAAGTCTCCCATCGCCATGTCCCTCTTCCTTTCCATTCTTACTGTCTTCCTCCAAGTCAGTGCCTGCGTCCATGCACGGCAGCAGGGTCCTCATAGCGTCACTCACCCCTGCAGTCCACCCACCACCACCCCACTGTCACGCAGAATCTTCCCAAAGCATGGCTTGGATCCCGTAACAAACCTGCCAAAAAACACTCAAAGGCTTCCCCTGCCTGCAACGGACATGGTCTGGTCCAAGCTACTTTTTCAGCTCTGTCTCCCTCCCCAACAAAACATATTCCCGCACAAAGTTCATGGCTCAGTCATCTCACCCCAGGACTTCAGTGCTCACTGTTCCCCCAACACTGGGACAGCTCTTGCCTCCTCTCCTGCTGCTTCGCAGCACGAAGAGGGAGAAGGACCATCACAACAGCACCCAACATGAGTACCAAGCAAAGAGAACCCTATCCTGGCCGAAGGTCAGCTGTCCATCTCTGGATGGCATCCCCAACCCCCTTCCATTCCCCAGGCCTAGACTCCAGGCGTTGCAAACAATCACATACTATTCTCCCTACACCCCTCCCTCCATTCCTGCCAGAAAATCAGAGTTAGCTTTCAAAAGAGCCCATATTGGGAGTCACGCTCCAAGGATGGGAGAGATTTGACTTCATTGGTGGCCATGGAGCTTTGATAGTGGGTTAGAGAAGAAGAGGGGAGGTTAACTTAAGCCTTTCCCCCGCCTCCCCAGGACCAACTGCAATCCCCTGGCATACTGACACCATCCCTGACTTTCAGTGTGTATTGTCCAGTCTCTACATAGAATAGACAGACCCAGCTCCGATGAAGAGAGCTGAGAGGAGGACGGAGGGAGGGAAGGTTGTCTCAGGGGAGCCCCCTCCTCCTGAAACCAGGGGAGCAGTGTCTTCAGTCCCAGAGATGCACTAGGCCACACCCCCACCCCACCTCACCATCTTCAGTTCTGATTTGGGGGAGGGCTGGAAGGCAGAGGGGGAATTTAACTGCTCACATACCTGATCAAACAGGACTTTCCAGGGCTGGTAGAGAGGAAGGCCATGCAGGAGAGGAGGAAAAGGAGAGAAAGAAAGAAACACACTTATCACCAAGGCTTTGGTAGCCCCCTAATATTTCTGACATAGCCTCCCAGCTGCTCCCAGGTTCAGGGACCCACCACAGGAGACCAGCAAAAACCTGGGAAGAGCTTCCCAGGTGAGTCGGTACTGAGCAAAGGGAGGGAACTCGGGAGGGGGAGGCGGGGGAGTGTCCCTCTTCCCCAGACAGCCAGGCAGTGGGATGCGCAGAACAAGGGGGATTCTCCAGGATGACAATAAAGGCGTCGGACTCTGCCCAAGGGCCTCCAATAACTTCTAGTAACTATAACTCTAGTACCCGCTTCTGCTCCCCGGCCAGGAATGCATACCCAGTGCCCTTTCATCAGACCAGTGGCCCTGGCCTCCACCTGCTGGGGGCAGAGACCCCTTACTCTGGAACCCCCCACCCCGTGACACCCCCGCACAAGCGCTAGCATTCTGCCTGCGGGTTGGGAGGAAGGGGCTCCCCCATGTGCTGAAATTCACCCTGTCTCTTTCAGGCTGAGTCCCAGTGGCGAGGACGCGGGATTCTACCCGGGCTTTGGGGCCAGAAGCAAGTGAGAGGTTTAACTACAGGAGCCGAAGGGAGGGAAGGTGTTACGCTCCCCCCACCCCACCCCATTCCTCCCGCACATCCAGACTTTCGGCTTCGGTTTGGTAGGTTGGGGGGGGGGGGGCTGGCTTCACTCCCGCATCCCCCACCCTGAGTGACGGGGCAGGGCCAAAGGTCTGCCTCTCCAGGTGCAGGTCAACCTGGGAGGGAGACGCTTAGGAAACCCCAGTTCCCAGGACCCCCCAGTGCCGGCTACGCAGGTGACTTCCGGGACCCAGGGGAGGGGGGCTCGAGCTGCAGATGCGGGGAAGCCCTTGGGGAAGCCCCTCCGCAACCCCGCCGGGGACCGTCCTGGTACCGACGCGTCCCGGACTCCGGAGCCCCCTTCTGGAGCGACCGGCTCCCCGCACTCCTCGCCCTCCTCGCGGTGCGGGGACGGGGCCAGCTTGAATTTCAATCAGTGTCGCGACACCGCAGGTGCGGGCAGGGGCTGATCCGCGGGCGAACAAGGGGGTCCTCACACCCGCTAGCGGCGCCGGGTTTCCGGGGACCCTGCGGCGCCCGCCCCTTCCCGGGCCCGGAGAACCCGCAGGTCGCGAGTGGGAGGGGAGGGGGAGTCACTGCCGTGACGCGGCCGCCTCTGCGGGAAAACGCCGCGTCCCGGGCACTGCACCAGCCGCGGGGAAGGGGCCCCGGCGGCCCACGGTCCCCAGCGCAGCGGCGCGGGCTGCGTCCCGCAGGGAAGCCGCGGGAGCCCGAGCGGGGGTGGCGCTCGCGCTTTGGGGGAGACCGGTCCCTCCGCCCCTCCCGCCCGCGGGGACCCGGCCAATCCGGGGCGCTCCCGCGTCACCTTGAAACCTCCAAGTTGCCCCACGGAGGCGAGTCGGGGCAGCTCTCCTCCGAGTGCCCCCCAGAAAGTTTGCCCGGGTAGGGGAGGGGGCACTCACGTCCTCGGGCGCCGCCGGCGGCCGCTCGTCGGCCTCGGGTCCCAGCTCCTCGATGCGCTCCGCCTCGGCGCCGGCGGCCACCGCGGGGCCCGGGCTGGGGTGCTCGCCCATGCCGGAGCGGGGCCCGGGGGCGGCTGGCGGCTGTGGCTTCGTCCCGGGCGCCAGGCTAACTTTGCGCCGCGGCGGCCGCGCCGCTCCGGGGACTCGGTGCGCGCCGCGCCGCCTCCGCGCCCGCCCCCGCCCGCATGGCCCCCGCACCGCCGCCTGGCGACCCGGAACGCCGCCCCTCGGCCGCCAAACTTCTCCGCGCTAGCGGCCCGCCGGCCTCCGCCCCGGCCCCCACGCCAGGCTCCGAAGCGAGGGCGCCCTTGGGCCGGCCCAGCGCCCGGCTCCCCGCGCTCCCTGCCCGTCTCCCGCGGCCCCCGCTCTGCGCCGGAGCCTCCTCCTCCCCACGGACTCCTCGCGGGCGGTGCGCAGGCGAGGGCGGGGCTGCTCCCGGGACCGCCGTCGCCCACCCCCGCCCCTGGACGCCGCCACCCGGGCCAAATCGGTTAGAGCGCCGCGGCGCGGGAGGGCGGAGGGCTGCGGCGGCGGGGTTGGCCGGCAGTGGCTGCACCTCCCGGGGAGGGGATGGGGCTGCGCTGTCCCTGGGCCCCTCACCACCCGCCTCCACCCCGGGTCGGGTTCGACTCTGCACGGGGCCAGGGCCGGGTGCAGTGCCCGCTTCCCTAGACCCACCGGGCTAACGGTTAGTTGGAGGCAGTAGATGCGTGAAGGAGGCAGGTTTCACTAAGTTGGCAACGCCAGGGTTAACTGAAAGTGAACTGGGGGACGGATGCTGCGAGGAGGCGATGCCATCACCCTGCCATCTCTCTTCACTGAGGGCTCAGACACGGGGAGGTCCAGGTAGGCCCATCATTTAGGGATGGAAGAAGTCAGACAGGGAAGCCCCGGACCCCCACCCTAAGCCTTGCCCTCCCTCTAGCCAGGGCTATATGACAGTGCCCTGGCTTCATTTGACCAACTGGGAAAGGGGAGGTAGACTAAAGCAAGCAGGAATGAAGTTAGAGCAAAGAAACAGTGGATAGTTTAAAGAAAAAAAAAAATTGGTGCTGTTTCCTCTGCACGAAAGACCTGCCAGGAGAGACTGTCTCCCCCAAGCAGAGGCTCTGCCTGGAAACCGTGCCAGGGGCCAGTGCTGGCTGGGACCGTGCCCACTTCTCCCAGGAGGACTGACTCCTGGTGATGTCTCACAGTCAGCCCCCAGCCCACACGGAGGCTGTCCCCTTCCACTCCTTTTCCTTCTTCTTCTCACCACCCACCCACCCACTCACTCCGACCTTGCTCCCTCTCAGAAACAGGCTCTTCTCCAATAATGAAAATTGCAATTAATGCGCTCATGTCCCCAAAGCAAACACATAACCCCAGCAGCCCCACATCCAACCTGTGACCATCTCCCTGACAATGACTGCTCCCCTGAAACACGAAAAGGAAATTAACTTCGTTCTAATTAGGTGAGTTTGCTACAGACACCCATTTTCATCTCGGTTTCAGCAAGTGTGATCATCTCAACTATTTTTGTTTCTCACCACCCTCCCCCATCTCTACTCTACTAACAAGTCAAGATCCTGCCAAGATTTTCCTTGTAAATAAAACTGTCTGCTTAGGGTGTGATTTTGAAAACAGCCTTCGGGGGACAGAAGAGAGGCTGACTCCTTTGGGGAGTGAAGCCCCAAAAGAGAGGCAGCTTGGGGCCCTGGTCCTGTCACTGCCTCCCTGCCACTTCCTGATATCATGTGTGTGGCCCCTGGGGTGCTGGCTGGAGAAGTGGGCCAGGGGGTGGGTGGTTGCAGGGGAGGGGGAAGAAGGGCTCTGAGAGGAGTTGGTGTTCTGACCCCAGCTTCGCGTTATTATTTTTTTAAATATATTTTTTTGATTTCAGAGAGGAAGGGAGAGGGAGAGAGAGATAGAAACATCAATGATGAGAGAGAATCATTGACTGGCTGCCTCCTGCATGCCCCCTGTTGAGGATCGAGCCCACAACCCGGGCATGTGCCCTTGACCAGAATCGAACCCAGGACCCTTCAGTCCGCAGGCTGATGTGCTATACACTGAGCCAAACCAGCTAGGGCCCCATCTGCCCTTTAGATTCTGCCTCTTCTCCAACCCAGGGACAGCTCTTATCCACACCTCCCCTTCTGTCATCCCTCTGGTGGAGGGGAGCTCAGCAGGCTCCGTTCAGTCCCTGAACATGTACTGTGCTCCTACGAAGTCCCAGTGACAGAGTTTTGGGAATACAGAGATGGATAAGGTCCGCACCCTGCCCTGCAGACACTGTTTAATTGGGGGTGACAGCCAGGAAAGCCCAGGCATAGAGGAACCCAAAGGAGGGGGTCCCTGCAGGTCCAAGAAGGCTTTCTAAAGGATATGCCCCCAGAACCAGGCCAAGTGGGGAAGCTGGAGGGGAGGCATTCCAGGTAGAGAATGGCCTGGGCAGAGGCTCGGCTTGTGCAGCAGGATGGGGTGAAGGGGGCTACAAACAATTTGGCATGGCTAGTGGCTGGAAACTAGAGCAAGGCGCTCCGTGGACAGAGCCCAGCCTGGAGGGAGGGCTGGAAGAGTTTCATGAGCAGAGCTTGGACTTTACTCCAAGGGCAATGGGGAGCCATCGAAGGATTGTGAGCAAGAGAGTAATATTTAAGAAGATCCCTTGGGCTGTAGTGCAGGAGATAGAGAGGAGGGAGGCTGGCCTGAGCATAGGGAGACGGAGATGCCGTCCAAGTAAGAGGTCACCAGGGCGGCAGCAGTTAGAATGAAGGAGTGAGGGAGGACCTGAGACGCATCCAGGAGGCTATCTCGTAGGAATATCTCACCCCGCCTTGGCAGACAGTGTTTCCACCAGTCTCCTCGGAAAGAATTCCCAGCCTCTCACGGAAGCCTCTGTTCAGGAGACTACACCCCTTTCTTTGGCTCCTGCTGGGAGGGGGAGGCCATCTGGACATGGAGACAGTTGTGATAGCCAACATCCTCCGTTACCCTGAGGCCACACTCTGACCTTCTGCTTTCAGTGTTGCCTCAGCCTCTTCCCACCCTTCGGGCTTCTGCGGAATTGGCAGCACAACCCACTCCCTAGCAGGCAGTGGGGCCTGGGGCCTGGCACCCAAGTGGCCAGGCTGTCGGGTAGCTTTGGTCCCACTCCAACCTAAGACAACCTGTGGACCAGCCGTTCTGTGCCATATCCGAGACAGAGGACAGAGGAGGGAATGGGCATGGAGCCTCCTCACCCTCAGTTGTGGTGCCCTGGGGTGACTGTTCACGGGCTATGCATCCAGAGAACCCTGGGTCTAGTGCAGCGGTTCTCAACCTGCGGGTTGTGAACAATGAAAATACATCCTGCATATCAGATATTTACATTACGATTCATAACAGTAACAAAATTACAGTTATGAAGTAGCAACAAAAATAATTTTATGGTTGGGGGTCACCATAACATGAGGAGCTGTATTAAAGGGTCGCGCGGCATTAGGAAGGTTGAGAACCACTGGTAGTGGGAGAGACAGCCAGCAAGGGTTGATTGGCATTTATACCCTGCTCTTCGTCATGTAGGCGCTCTCACCCTTGACCTCTTTGAAAGTTCCTGACAAGACACTCTAAATCAGTGCAGAGCAGGCCAAGAGCCTGGGAGAGCAGTTCAAACTCCGAAGGGTCAAACGCAGTCAGTTGGGGGGAGGGGGGGGCTGCGGGGGTTGTGGAGGGGTGTGCAGAAGCATGAATCTATCTTAAAAGACAGGAGCTGTGTGGAGAGTGTGGAGGGGTTTCTGGGTGGAGGGAGACACTGCAGCAAGGGCACCAAGATAGGACAGCTGCCGACTGGGGTGGGAACAGCGAAGTGAGTGAGCACAAGTGGAGATGGCCTAGTGGATAAGGACCGCGTTGCAAAAGTCCTTGAGTGCCTGTCGCAGGAGATTGGACCTCACTTGGTGGGCGATGGAGGAGCGACAGCTTCTCACCGGAGCAGCATTTTAGGAAGATTAAGTTGGCAGTGGCTCAGGAGTGCAATTTAACTAACACATTGGGAGTGCCCCTTATTTGCCAGCCCCTGGCTGAGGGGCTGAGAATACAAAGGGAGTGAGACCCAGGCCCTGGCCTCTGGGGAGAAAATGAGATAATCCTCTAATTCCAGTCCAGTGGGAGGCAGGGCGGGAGGGGCCAGCTGTTTGGGGGCTGAGTCTCTAAGATGCACCCACCACAGTACAGGGTGGGTTTTGTGTTTTTTGTTTTTCTTTTTTTTTTTTTAGGATCTGATGTTCTGAACCTGGGGGCTGCCATTGGTGAACCAGGAAAAGGAAAGCCAGAAGGAGCCGCTGGGAGAGGGAGGGGGTGGTGAGGGGAGCGGAGGAGTTTGTTTGTGGACAATGTGAGCTAATGAGAAGCCAGGGAAGAAACATTAAGGGCTGTAATTATGGCTCCCTGAACAGTGGTGTGTGTGTGTGTGTGTGTGTGTGTGTGTGTGTGAGAGAGAGAGAGATAGAGAGGGGGGGGGGGGGGGGGAGATGCACACATTTCCTCCAGAATCTCTCCCTCTTGGTCCTTTTTCAACAAGAGTATCCCATTCTGATGTCTCCCTCAGCCTGGCCCACACCCTTCAGGGCCCTTTCTCTCCCTGAAGCAAACCCTAAACTGACCCTTCCAGTCCCCTCTCCCCACGTGGAGCTCCAGTCTTCAAGAAGCCTGCAAACTGCCCCCCAAGTAGCAAGCAAACAGCCCTAAGCTGCCGCCTCGCCGGCCTGAGATGAAGACATGAGCTATTTTTGACTGAGATCCAAGCCTCGGCCCTGAATTCTTTTGTCTTCCAGGAATCCCCAGTCATGTTTGAAGTCTGCAAGTCCAAACAGCGGAGGAGACCGCGCTTGGAATCCAACCAGCCTCCATGCCCAGCCCCGGCATTCCTCCATTCTCCCCACTCACTGTCTTCAAGATCAAACGGCACACGCTGCTGAACAGAACATCCCCCCTTCCTTTCGTCTCTTCCTTTGTCACCCCAGGGCCCCCAATTTTCTGAGTAACTTAAATCATGACTGAGAGACATCTAGGTTCACAGACACCAAACCCTTTCAAAGAGAGGCGTGGGCACCCAAAAAAGCAGCTCAGGAAAGTACAGAGGAACCTTTCCCAGGTTCAGGGTGGAGCCAATCACATGTTCTGGGAAACTATCAGCTGTTTTGCTGGGTCTCATCTTCCTTCTCTGTCATCTCCCTGGGGCTTGGCTGGTCCGCAGGGTCTCACGTTTGGATCCTCCAACACTCTGCGATCTTGGGCTATGCTACAGGTAGGTCCTGTTTCCTCAGTAAACAGTCTGTTAGATGGTGCGCATCACTCTGCTAAGCCCTACTCCTCCGCCAAGCCTTCCCTC